ACCGTGTAAAGAAAAGAATCTCATTAAATTATAATTTGTTATTTGAGACATTTATAAAATTAAAAATTAAACAAGTTTTTAACATATCAATAATATACAAATTAAAAAATTTAAACTAAGTTTTACTGAAAAATGACATAGGCCATTTGGGAATATGTGTGTTATTTTCAAAGGTTTAATAAATCTCCCAAAATCGAGTTGAATAAAATAATCCGAGTCAGTGAATAGATTATGTATCACATTGGAATTAAAGCATAGCCATCTACCGACAATATTCACCAAAGAAATTAGTATCTACTACACTGAAAATAAAAAGTGGTACTCTTGGGAAAATTTTCTTGTCTCAAGAATTGATCGAATTATTTTTTGTTTAATTCAAGTGAAACTATTCGTTTGTTAATCTATCAAAATTAGTGCCAATATTTTACTATCATGATAGATATTGATATTCTTTTGTCAAAAAACCAAAATTTATTTTAAACGATTCTTGAGCCAAGAAATTTTTTTTTAGAGAAAAAATTTTTTTTCTCAGTGTACTAAATATTATTTGGTGGAAATACATATTTATTTTTATGTAATAAGGCTTTGTTTATATTAATATAATTTATTAGAATAAAAAAATCATTTATTAAATTTAACAAATAATATTGATCGGTAAAAAATATTTTTTTCTCCCAAATAAATGACTAAAAATTTTGTTACTCAATCAGTTTAGTACTCCGTACTAAATCCTTCTATCAATGTGCAGTAGCTATTGCATTAGCTACAACTAAATCAAAATTTTTATTTCTACTATTTTTTTAAGACCAAAAATTGTGAAAAAAAGATTCATTTTTCAGTTTTTATTTTAAATCTCTAACATTTCGTTATTTATCAATAAATATTGATCTCCGTAGCCGGTGCAATAACTACTTATATATTGAAAGTAAATAATTTTGATTTTAGTGTTTTAGATGAGCCGTTATCAAGTTATCATGTACGTGAGCTTTATACCAACGTTTTGTCAGAGCTCCGTTCACCCTTTGTTTATTCATATAAAAATTATTAAAAAAATAACTTTAGATATTTTTAGTGTTATTCAAGAGTGCATTTGTTAAGTTGGATAAATTTTATATTAATATCTATAATAATTTCTGTATAAAAAAAAATCATGAACATTGGCTTTTTTTCTAGCGCTGGGACTATAATAATCCCTTAGAAATCTTACATTTTTTCTAATTGATTGTCAAAATTGATGTGGCTAAGTGATTTATTTCAATAGAACACATGAGGTATAAGAATAAACCTATTTTATTACCTACCACAAAGGTATAAAAACAAGCAAAGAGTACAAAGATGAATTTTCGTGGAGATTAAATAAAGGAGAGAGGGCCAAATGCCATTTGAAGTCATCTACCGTATCTCAATCTGGAGATACCCTTTATATATACTAGGTATCATCGAGCCGTGACGCTCGGCATCTGTTATGTCCACACAACATCCGTCCTTTCTCATTCGAATGATTTTTATGTGCACAAGTATAATTATCAAAGTTAAATAATTATCAGCCATATAAAACACTGAATTTAATTCGATTAAAAAAAAATTTTTTTTCTCTCTCTTAATTCAACTTAAAATTTTTAAATCTTTATTTTCAGTCAAAAACTTTTTATCAATAACAATTTTTATTTTTTTCATAGTAAAAATACTTATAAAAGTAGACAATGCATATTTATAACTTATCTAGAATTTTGCATTGCGATTTTGGCGCACTTTAAAAGATCTAATGGGAGAATCTTACAAAGACACCCGAGAGTCCCATAGCGAGTGTGAAATCTTAGTAGTGTTCCACGATATACCAAGACGCTCGGTGATTCTCTTACGGTTATTTCCTGTTGAGTATTACCTCGATACGCCTCATTCTTATTTTTAAATTTAAATATATACTTTAACATGGTAGACTGGATAGAAGTTTAGCACATGAAACACCGTCAGATTCTAACTTACTTTCAATATACTTATCTTTATCGCAGAGATATATAAGCATTAAAAGATAAGTATATAAATGAATACAAAAAATATACATTAGATTTTTTTATTTTTTTTTTTTTTTTTTTAACAAAAGAAAATGGCAGCTTTAAAATTAATTCTGATAAATTTTACCTTTTGAGCCTTATTTTGGCATGGAGAAAATTTCCAGAGCGGCAATTCAACATTGTACGCAGTATATAACATTTAATCAGGTACGAAGCGACCATACATTCCGAGGAAAGCCATTGGTTAAATCACTACACTCGCTCGTACATTTGATAGTTAAAGCATCACAGAGATAAATTTCAAAGCGTTACGCTTGATCTTTCATTAATAAAGATTGTCTTAGAGGACGAAATGGTATCTCGATTACCAATTAATTAAAAGCCACTATGCGACTGTCCAAATTTACGGATTATGAATAAGAAAATTTTGGCTTAATGATTTTTTGGGTACTTTTTAAATGTCTGCTAATTTTAGTATCATATAATTTTTTCAAATTTCTATATGTGAACTTTTTATTATCGTTTTTCTATAATAATTTAATTATTATAAAAATCTAAAAAATTATTAGATGTTTGGTCTTAATTTATATTTATATTTTTTTTAATAGGCACGAGC